ATTATTCAAAATAAATTTAAAACATGCACATATTTACTAAATACCAACATGGTTTATTAATAAAGCCCTTTAAGTATATCTCTGTGCTTGATTTATAAAATAAAAAGAAGTTTGAATTAAATTTACTTTCCCATAAACTTTTTAATAATTTAATCCATTTAACCCACCAGCACATTTTATTTTTAATACAGCACATTTGTTGTGTATTAATGTCTTAATAATTAAGGTATTGTTGCAACCAGTGAAAAAAAATAATCCAATTATAGCGGGTTAACTATTTCATAAACATCAATCGGCTTTTCAGTGATTCAATAACGTTTTGTGAGAGTCAGATATTGAAATCAAATCGTCCATTTTTCCTGCCTATTTTATGGAGATCTCCCCTCTTACTAACAGTTAAGGATTCAATCACTTTTATTTGTTGATTTTATTTCCATGAATGTAAATCTGTAAGTCAGAAAATACTGAAACTTTCTTGGTCTCATTTTCATTTCAAGTCTGATAACTTTTACTTTTTGTTTAATTAAAACAAGATTTGCTATGAGAAAACTACAGCTAAAAGCAAGTCAGAATGTATTGCAGATATTTTGTACCAAGAGGGTATTTATCATATGTCAATAAAATCGAAACTTAGAAATTTTTCATATCTTGCGATTGGTCATGTTGAAATTCACACAAGTATTTTTAAGTTGATATTAAAAATATGCTAGAGTTCCTCATTGACAATAACTATATATGTAGTCTATAAAAACCCGCTCTTCTAGCAGTCTATTAGAATTCCCATCGGTACTAATTTTTCCCATTAATAAGTCGACCTATTTTCGTATTTATGAAGCTAAATTTATATATTAAAAATCTACATGAAAACAAGCCGTGGCTTGAATTCGACTTTAAAATTTAACACAATACTCATTTTCAATCATTCGTTGGTTCGATACATCACTGAATTCGAAAAAAGACACCGCAGACTCTACATATGTATTTTATATTTGAATGTATTACCAGAGACAGGCATTGATGGTAATCTAACAACTGAACTACATGTATATGATACACGTGATGACTTCAACTTTATTATTGTCAACTTCCCTTACTTCAATAGTAAGGTATTCTCTCCTGCATATGGTGTTAACATCTCCCAGTTGATGCAATACACAAGAGCTGTTCTGTGTACGATCGATATCAATCACTAAATAAGGCATACCACTGACAAATGAGTTGATATTACAAGGATATAAACGATCTTGTTTAAAGTTACCATTTCGCAAATTATATAGTTCTTTTACAATTGTCTTTAGGTTGAATGATGACGGACGTTTCATATAAAATGTTAAACCATAATTCTGTTACTGATTTGTCTGTGAATTACTTCGTCTCCCCGATCAAGATAAAAGGATCAAGAAGAGCGAGACCGGTTGACAGGGGATATACTTCCATGGCACCTGATCTTATCTCTGCTGTTTTGAGGGGTCCTCGTTTATTCTATTCTCATTTTTTTTTTATGTTTAATTAGTTTTTAAAGCTTGATTACTGTTCGTCATATTTTTTCACGTTTTTCAGACGAGGAAAAGTCCAAAGTAGAATTTCTTAAAGGAAGCTCTTAGCATTAATAAATTTAATTTGTTTCATAGTTTTGAGAAAATTGTATTATATAAAGGTGTATATATGTATATCCAGTTTATCTAGTTCATTATCAGTATAAGGTACCTGCCATTATTCTCCTGGAAAAATGTTCTAAGACAATGAAGTATTTGAGAACAAAAAAGAGAAAATATCTGTAAATAATGCTTTAATTTGCTTCATCTTTGTCAAATACTTTGATCTATTTCAAATAGTGTAATTTATTGAAGATTTCCATTTATTCCATTTTATATCCAAGTGCAGATCACAGCAACTGCATGAAAGTACCATACTGGAGTTAGATCTCTTCGGTGAAAACAGTGTTTAGGGCTTCCTTAGTAATAAATTCTATAAAGTGACTCTGTGCATATATATATATATATATACATTTGTGGTATCTCTCTATTATATAAACATGCAGAGAGCAAATATCTTCATACCTGTATGAAGTTTTTCGAAGGTCATAGGTCATTACGTGACCTAATCACACAGCGCAGTAATATCTACATAAAAAGACTTACTCCACTAAGCAATAGGCCTATAGCATGTTTTTCATGCATAAAAATGTACAAGATACGCAAGTAAAATAATAATCATTTTATTTACAATGTAAACGAGTATTTAATACAGTTCTTGATCGATTTAACATAGAGAATAGAAAACTACGTGTTATAAGTTTCATGTCTGAGCTGCATAGTCTCTACGTTTACCCTTATTTTTCTCGCAGACCTCTGAATGCTATTTTTTTTTTTTCATTAAACTTTACTCACAATAAATCTGAAATCTGTTGAAAAATATCAATGTAATGCAATCACGCCACAAACAGCTGACAAACACTGCACTTTGGAAGTTCGGTAGGCACACCTCCATCATCGAGATCGTTGTGACGTTGTCTTAACAATGTAAGCTGTCGCAAGTGTCTCCATGTCAACATCAAAAATTAATAAATATGCCTTACTGAAATCGTAGATTTTATGTTTTTGATCAAATTTTGTACTTGATTTCAAGTTATCTGGTCCAGACAAGTGTCTCCATCCATCCCTTTCCGACCGAAATTCCTCCAACTTTTTATTATCAAACATCGGACGTGTTTCTTGTGTTTTTAAACATCGAATATGGGTTCTCGTGAATACAAAAATTCCAAGACACCAATATGCTCACTATAATTGATCACAAGTAGCCTTTCACAGAATATTCCCTTCAAAACAGAATCCTTTGCCAGATGAATTTGAAGCGTAACCGCTTTTCAAGCCGATTTACACCTAGCGTAATTAGTCAAAATCTACGACGTGCAGTTAGTGCAATATTTATATTCGATTACATTCGATTGTCCGTTTCAAATGTATATATAAGTAATAAATAACAAGTTTAAAAACTGCAATGGGAATTGAAGTGGGTCGGTACGTGATCAAATCTTCTGAGAAGGCCTTCGGCCTTCACAGGATTTGATCACGTGACCGACCCACTTCAATTCCCATTGAAGTTTTTAAACTTGTTATTTATTTCTTATATATATATATATATATATATATATATATATATATATATATATATATATATATATATATATATATAATGCAATTGTATTACTGACAAGCTGTTGAATAAAGATGAATTTCTTTAAAGTACCTGAAATAGCTTTCAGACAAGAATATAGAGACAGTCTGGACTATAGCAATTTATATCGCAATCAAAATTGCAAAAAAATTCTTCACAATGCATAAAAGAATCTTACTACAATTTAAAGTATTCAGACCAGTAGATTTAAAATGATAAGTCTCCGGGGATTATTAATTCTTGTGAGGATTAGAGGCTTCTGTACGAGGAGCAGGGGGCCCGATTGTGATTTCCTAACAACAGGGTTCACGCATTTCCAAAATACACTTGAAGTCAATAAAAATATCAGGAGGAGAATTACCCCAGTATTATTGTAGAATATGTGTATAAAGTAACTAAATGTTAAATACAAATATAGGTTCTTTCTTAAGAATATTCCGATTAGAATGGATCAGGGAACGCCACAGAATAATGAAACTAATTCAGAAATATTCCTCATTGTCCGTAAAACGGTAAATTTCCTGATATAACATTTAAACAAGAAAAGGAGATTTACACGGTAATGTTTAATTGAAAGGTAAATATTGACTCGACCTACCAATGTTTCCACGGGTTCTTTGTTCTGCATTGCCTGTCCATTTCTGTCGTTTGTTTTGATCTACAGACGCTCTATCGCTCTGGAAGCTGCCATTGTCAGACCCTCAATTGATGGGGCTCACACTGACACAGGCAGCACTCCTGACACAATTGTCGATAAGTTATAATGTGGTAAAATAGATTTCTTTTGAAGTGTTTTTTAACATCTGCTGGTGTCAGGAAAAAGTCTCTTTGCTTTGATAATGTAAAGAAAACGCCTTACTGGTGCCGGTAAATCGTGTTAAAGGGGTAGCCTTATGCTTAAATCTTTGTGTCTCGATTTCATTTGTATATCAATTTAAAAAATCATAATTAATTTAACAAGCAACTTTCAGGGACATTCTTTGCGTGACTCTAGGTGTGTTTATAAAGAAAGGTATATCGGTGCTCGATAATTAATTTATTCAGGTTCAGAGCAATCTGATAAAATGAAAGTAAATTTAAAACCATTTCACTTCTCATTCTCATAGTAACAATACCATATTTTTGAATAAGTTCAGTATAATTGAATTCTAGTTAACCTTGTATTTTTTGTGGGCTTAATTATTTATAGTTAAAACCATTTCGTAAGAATTTATATAAAGACCACTAATGCATGGTACATAAACTTGTAAAGGTGCTATAGGCTACCCAGTGTCTTTCATTGGGTGTGTTCTCGTTTCATAAATTCGAACTATTTGGTTGTGATCTTAAGACAGTCTGGTTACAAGGTTAGAACTATACCACCATTTCTGCAAACCAAAGTACAAAAGACGAGATGGCTTGCTTGGATCCACCCAATAAAGTTTCACCTTCGTCAATGTTTGAAGTGAACCTTCAATTTTTGCCTCAGTTCACTTGGAAGCTATGTGTACAAAAACACTTAATTTGTACCCAGTTCCCTTCTATCGAAAATACTTTATTGGTTCTTGTAAATCTGAAAAAAAGCTTCAATGACATCTAACATGCATTTCATATTCTTTTGTATTTTTTGCCGAAGTGTTTATGGGTTATTAATTTTTAATTGAACGTCTGGGAATTTACTAGTTTTTCACCACCTGGATTTAAAAATGTAGGTCGCAGGACAATGTATTTACTGAATTAATGACACATAAAACAATTACATATTGTTTAAATTGAAATTCAGTCGAAGATGTCTTGAGTACAATGACAGAAAAAAAACAAACATTTTTTTGGTAAGAATTTATTCTTCTGTTGTAATGCAGAATATTCATTAACTTACATATTCCTTAAAAACTCTTAAATAATAAAGCACCACAGCCAAATGCTTGTTAAATGAACACACACAAATTTTGATGTCACTCTAATCATTTTTGACTACCTAACTTTCAATTCCTCGAGTTCAACGTCAGAAACAAAGTGTTGAGTTAGCTTTTTTAAAAACGACGAAATCTTCGGATTCACTCCACGGGAAAGAAGTTGAAATAGACTCTTCCGAACTTGCTTTCTAGTTTTTAGTTGTTCTGTTGAGGGTTCTCCAAGAAGTGGTTTTAGAATCAGATTGGGAGACTCTGAATTGATTTCTTCCGTGGTCTTCAAAGTCCATTTTACCTTAAAAAAAAGTAAATCTAATGTAAGAATATTTTTAGGATTTCTCTTTTCAGATTACCGATGTACTGGGTTCTAAAGTCGTCAATTACTTACTGAATGTTTTGGTGGACTTTCAAGTAATCGTTCTGCCATGTAAAGTGAAACCTCTATGTCATCCAAACAGAGAAGAATATCCCCTGAAAAAATTGTTTAAAAAATACTATATTTACATTCTAAATTTTGCAAAAGCATAATTTAAGGTACATGTATATATAAGTCAAATATATGTCAATATATAAGATATTACTTTACCTTTCTTAACACCTGCTTTTGCAGCTGGACTATCTGGTTCCACATACTGAACGAGAAATTTAGTCTCCTCTACCATACCTTGGAAAATTCCGGCTTTTGGCTGAGCACATTGGTTATGGTGGCACAAAAAAGCTCCAAAGTAGGCATGAAAATGAATTATCCTAGAAAAAGAGTCTTGGTGCAATCGGGAACATTGGGTATGTTCTTTGGGCAGCACATAAATTTGTCTAAGATCTGTTGTTATTTCTGGAGTGCTGTGTGTTTCATCAAATGTAGTTCTATTGTTATTATTTTCTCCACTTGCTAGAATTTGAGATTGATAATCTATCAAACTTTCAAGGTAGTTTATATTTACAGTTCGAATATCAAAATTTGAAGGAGTATTCACACCATTTCTGATCCTGACTTCGTTTCGAATCTCTGATTTTGTTTCATTTTCTGGTTGAAAATGACATTGGCAATGATGATCATTTAGTCGTCTGCGGCGATGTCTAGCACGTGCGCTAGCAGGTCCATGTCGTCTTCTCTTCTGTGACTGGTCAGCGTCCTTTGTGACGTCAACATAGAAAACTCCTCCGTCTTCATTAATATGTGATTCCCAGTTCTCTTCAACTTTGCTAGAAGAGTATCAAATAAACTTTAATCACTACTTGTACAACACTTTAGCAGACTATTACACATACTTTAGATAACTATGTATTTACATAGGGGTTCCTGTGGAAATTTAAAACCAGGTTAGAAACTTGTTGAAATACTAAATATCCTGTTCAAAGTAGATCTCAATGAGAAGAAAAACTTGACTGACAATATAACATAGAAATCTGAAAGAATAGCTACCTGTGAGATAATATGCTCCGAATGTCATCAAAGTCTTCCAAGCTATTTCTTTTCGAGCTTTTATACAAAGTGGATTTTATTCCAAACATACTCCTTCTCAGCTGCATTGTCTGGTCGGAAGTAAAGGAGTCTTGACTTTCACTCTCTTTCTCTACGTCATTATTGTCATTTGTCGTTATATAAATGTCCCTCATTTCAAGTGCTGTTTTCACTAGTTTGATAAGCTGCAAAGGACAATAGATGATATATCTCAATATAGGAAAGGCAATGATGCTTCAACAAGAGATATTGCCTGATTTATTGGCTCGTTTGGTCTAAAGGTTAGGGAATGGATTTATTTAGCTGTATATATTAACTTGATTACATCTTTGACGTCAACTGCTGGAGTTTTCATCTTCAAAATGTGGGATCATAATTGATATAATAAATGAACAGACTGCATATCAGAAAAAAAATCTTTGTTCATTGAAAGAGCATACAACAGAACAGTGAGGCCCCAGAATTAATTTAAATTTCAAATTTGTGTCCTTTGATCAAACTTTATGTATTTTTTTTTCTTTGTTTTAAAAGGAAATCTCAGGCATAAACGTTGCATGGAAATAATGATAAAAAGTTTAATGTAATTCAAAGGAAAATATTTTATTTATTGGGATATATTTTTCGTGTCCACCCTTTTTATGCATCAAAAGGGTAAACATCATTTTTATTAATGAGCACCCGCCTCGTGTCTTATTTCCAGATTTCATAAAAGCTTGAAATACATTATCATTTTACCTTCATATAATTTATGCTAGGTGTTCCTTAATCTTAATTTGCAAACAAGCATCACAAAAAGTAATAAGAAACATTATTTACTTACCATAGATTTTAGAGAATTTTCCACAAATAAGAAATGACTGCTGCCGAGTGAAGTGTAATTTACTTTTATACACTGACGAAAAAGGCATGAGTGCTGTTATACATAGTATATGGGAGGTGCCTTTAATAAGCGCACACTTTCAACAAAACCACGTGACTTCATTCCAGGTCTTTGGAACGTTTCCATTTGGTGAATGACATCTCACATGGTTTAAATAACTAGACAGGGTAGTTTACTTTCTTCAAGTCAGAAGCTTTGAAATAAATATGCTGAATTATTATTTGTATTGACGGCAAGCAATAATTTAAGTTCTCTTATAAATTTATTGACGACATTTAGAATAGAACTGTCTAATTCTTGACAAAATATGGATTAATTGGAGCTATTTTCCCTCGTACACCTAGTTTAACCATCTCGTATATTAGATTTTTTCTTTCAAAGAAATAAAGAAAGGAAGTTTGGAAGTTTACAAAACAATTTGGTTAACCCAATGTAGTATTTTTTAAAAGAAAAGATGATACATGGAGTTCTTACAAAAATTTCACTGCAACACAATGTCCCGATTTATAAATGGAATTAATCCCACCCACCCCCTAAAAAATGTCAGGCTTGCCCCTTTTCAGTCAAAGGCTTGCCCATAAAACAAAGTATGAGAGTAAGCACGCAGAAAATCATACTTTTAGTGTATGAATGGTTTAGTTACTAAGATGAACTGTTATTGAGCATAAGAAAATGAAACCGCATACTTAAACCAAAACATTACATGCCTAAAATTTGGTAAAATTCAGTATAAAACAATATAACCAAAAAAAATTTTGAAAAATTATATTAGATAAAAATTTACTTTCACTTTTAAATGATAAAGATTTCTAAAAATAATATCAATAAAAATATACGAAAATAAAATACTTTGAATTGAATCACTAATGCTAAAATTTGTTTTTAATTTTTTAGATATCTTAAATTCTTTTTTACTCTTAATAAACAGTTAGAGAACAGCGAGGAGAAGTATCAACATGATTTATCCTATCGTGTTATAGTAATCTTGGGGTTTAATTTTTGTTCTTGTTTTTATATTTTAGTTTTTTTTATATACATGTACTATATAATGATTTTTTCTGTTCATTCGACTATATTCTGTAGTGATTTTTTTTTGACATTCGTTCAACTTTTGTATTTAAATTCAATTGTAAATTCGTTTATTTTCTGTTTACTTTCTTTTCTATAGTTAAAATGTACATGTATATAATGTTTCACACTCTATTCTCATGCATTATAAGTCATAATCACAGGATTTTATTTATTTAAGCTGAAAACTCAGAGACTGGTAAAATTAGAATGACATTGAAGAAACAAGAGGCCCAAGGGCCTTAACGGTCACCTGAGTATAATACAAGACTGTAAAGGATCCATAGAAGTATAAAACAAAATTAACTGAAAGATGAAGCTATGTTGCCTAAGAATTTCAAATATCTGGTAAAAATACCCTTGCTTATTGTACCGTGCGAGACCCGAGTAATCTTGGGATCGTACTTGGTTTTCCCAAGACTTACAAGGATGTTAATGAATACAAAATATACAGGGATGTTAATGAATGCAAAATATACAAGTACATGTACAATGGACACTTTCCTAGCGTGTAAGGTATTCAATATATACAGAAATGTTTTGTCACTTACCAAGTGCTACAATTAAGTACACAAAGAGATATTTCTAATGCTTGTATATTTACCCATGGTAATACCTCTAGGCTACACAAACAATTTAGCTGCTTGCCACTTGGTAATACTTGGTACCAACACTTGCCTCTTGGCTACACAAAAATAATGGTAATACTTGTTACCAGCACTCTTCACTTGTAGTAGTATACAACATGGCTATTTGCCATTTGTCAGTAACTACATGTCCCCTAGTCACCCTGGCTCTCTGTTCACTTGTTCACTTTGATAAAGTATAAAACAACTTTTTGCAGACTCTTGCTAACTTCACTATGATCTTCTTGAATTAACTTAACAATAAGACGTACAACAGAACACTACAGTATACACATACTAAGTACAATTGGCCCTTTCGCAACAACATAAAGAATCTTTATTTCAATCTTTTATACTGCTTCCCAGGCAAGAATCTAACTTTGAGCATGCTTTGCTCGATTAAACCAAAAATCATTTTTTTGTTTCTATTCTTTTTGTATTCTCATTCCATCAAATAACCTGTTAATTAAATTATATACAATGATTTCTTGATTTAACACAATTTAGCAAAGGGGAGTAACTTTTCCTTCACTTATTACAATTTTGTACTCTGTTTCCCTCCAAGATACAAAGGAGTAGAGAAAAGGCACAATTACTTATGTTTATACATTTATATTTATATTATGGCGTTTAGTCTGTTTGCTTAATACTCAGGGGCAGAGGAGAAAATTTTCACAGTATTAATGTATTTTTGCTATAAAATCAATAGAGCGCCGCTCAAATACCAGAACCCCTTACCCAGGAGCCATGAAATTCGCAATTTTGGAAAAGGCACCCCTGCTCATCATTACTATACATTTAGTTTTTTTTTTTGCTTAATACCAAGGGACAGAGGAGCAGATTTTCAAAGCATTAATTCATTTTCATAATATATTCAACGGAACCCCGCCCTAGCATCAGAACCCCTGATCCTGGGGCCATGAATTTCACAATTTTGGTAGAAGGCTCAATGCTTATTACAATCGTGCCAACAGTTTGACTGCTTGATGATCAGGAGTAAATAAGAAGATTTTTAAGGATTGCATTAATTTTGGTGGTTTTAGCCCCACCCCTCAGGCCCCAGGGGGAGGGGGAAGGGACCATGAAAGTCACAGTTTTGTTTCTCTTCGCCAATAAATGCTTTATGCCAAAACTGGTTGAAATTGGTTCAACGGTTTCCGAGAAGAAGCTGAAAATGTTCAAATGTTAACGCATATCGCACGACGAAAGACGAAAACAGCAAAACATGAGTGACTCAGGTGCCCTAAAATTCGGAAAACATTTCATACATATGAGAAGAACGTGTGCTTTTCAGAACTTAGTAAGTGAGGTGCAACATATTTGACATAGGAATTGTTACTTGGACGATCTATGGCGTCCTTAAAATCAACTTGAAGGAATGTGAATGTTGACAATGAAATAAGATTTGTGACGCATGAAGATGATTTGATCATTTCAATGTACCAATGTGCATTGCAATCAAATTAAATTCATACACCACGTATCATTACCTCAGGATAATTTTAGAAGAGGAAATTTAGCACAGAATAATAGGTTCTTCTTCTTGGTTCTGGTCAGATAAATATACATGTACTAGAAAAAGAAATGTTCTGTAGTGGATAGAAATATTCCGTATGAATATAAACATTAATAAATAGCTATAATCTACTTTAAGTAAGACATATCAAAAAGTTCAAATGTGAAATGATTTCCATAAATGATTGATGAACACAGATAAGAATTGGAGAAACAGCAAACAACCTTGCCAGCTAAATGATGCAGATCGGGTATGTGCGTCAGCTCGTTACGAGTTACTTTGACCTATTTCAACTTCTGCCACTTAAATTCTCTTCCTTCATATAAAAAGTACAAATGTATACAATTGCTTGATTAATTGATTTTTTATTGATGATATGATATTTAGTATTTAAAGTATCTCCTACTTTCATTCTGCCAAAAGTATGTCGGTATACTTCCAGAGACTCACTGGAAAAGCAATCTATACAATTAAGAAAGAAACCTGAAAAAATAAAGTTAATGTACAATAAAAGAAATCTTCTACATTTGAAATTAAAATATTCATTAAGAATACATGGACAAAAATGTCAGCATTTGAAACCATAGCAGACATTAAACAGAATGTATCAGCAATAGATAACTCCTATTTTTTCTGATATTTACATTTGTCAATGTTTTGTCCACATTTACCATATCAGTATAATAATAAAGTTGTAACTACAGTATGTATACCTTAACCCTTTCACATTGAGGCATTTTTGGCTAAAGTTAAAGACTGAAATAAGATTTTCTAAATGCTTCCTAAATAAAAAATACATACCTTCACCAAAGTACATCTGACAGACCGGACGTATTTCATAGCGGTACGGATTTCTTTCTTTACAACTGGTTATAAACTTCAAATTAAACATACAACATTGTAAATATATAGTGTTTGGTGGTTTAGTAGTAGTGCTAGTTGTTTTTCATTTCTCTCTTTCCTTTGTTTTTATGCCTTCTTAACTTTTTTCTTTGTCCTGAGGAAGGGACACTGCGTCCCGAAAATTTGACAATTTATAATTGTTTGTGTCGTTGGTCATTTTTAGTATATATATATATATATATATATATATATATATATATATATATATATATATATATATATATATATATATATATATATATATATATATATATATATATATATATATATATATATGGCATGAAATATATGGAGATAACGAAGAGTATTCAAGCTCAAAAGTCCATTATACAATACAAAATAGGAGCAGAGCAAACACGGACCTCCAAAACATCAGAGGTGGGATCAGGTGCCATGGAGGAGTGAGCATCCCCTGCCGACCGGTCACACCCGCCGTGCGCTCCTTGTCATGATCGGCAAATAACGGAAAAATCCGACGACAATTCAGTGTGTAAATAAAGGCCTAACAATTAGTATGAAAAACATCAGTCAGCATTTGACTCAATGATAAATTGTATTTGCTGACAAGGTCATTGTATCGACCATATAGAATTTACGAAATGATGACTTTAAAGGAGACTGTCAAACGTTGCAATTTCGATCTTTCCATTTGTATTTTATAATTTTTCATTTGTATTGTAATTTTTTTTTATTTGAATTGTTAAATTTTTTATTTGTATTGTAAAATTTTATTTGTCTTTCAAAAATTTTCCATTTGTATTCTATAATTTTTCATTTTAATTGTAAATTTTTTTTATTTGTATTCTTTAATTTTCCATTTTATTCTGTAATTCTACATTTAAGTTATATAATTTTTATTTGTATTATATTTGTA